GGCCCGCCTACACAACCGGCCTCCATTTTCCTCGCGCGACAGCCGCATCTCTTCTCGGGCTCGGTCCTGTTCGCGGATCCACGCCAGTATCACACTCTCCGGTACCCGCATCTTCGTTGGCGTCACTCCCCGAGAAGCCTCAGCCACCGGCTTCCTCTCCATCTCGCGCGAAGCCAACAGAGGGGAGGAAACCGCCTCAATTGACGCGCCTGGTCTTTTTTCTTTTCTTGTTTCGGCAGTGCCCTAAGGGCTCTCTTTTCTCTGCGCCGGCCACTTCCCTCTCCTCTGGTCATATCTTCCTGAAGTCGGCCATGCTTGGTGAGCAATGCGAGGATCAACACAAGTATGACTGGCTTACACCTAACCTTGTTAAGAAAAAAAGATACCTTATTACTTGATTTTCCCATTTTAAACATTGAAATAGTCCAAAACAAGCTCAAAGTAAATGTGATGTGTGGCATGGTTGTCTGGGACAACTGAACAAGTTTAGTCCAGGGCAAATTAAGGGCGGCCAGCTCTCTAGGGATAGGGATTCCTAGATATCTAGGACTATATATTTGTTTTCGTTGGTGTTTAGGACTCGTGTTTTTACTGTGATTTATTTCATGACCTTCGTCGACATCTCTTTTCCCTCTACGAGCCGTATGCGGTGTTTATCCTCCCTACACCTTTCCCCCAACCTTTCTCGCATGTTGCCACATCCCTTTCCTTTTTTCTTTGCTGTCGCCACCTTAAACAACACCTCCCACTGCTATTCTTGTTGCCCGTAGTTTGCCCCTTATTGCCAACCGCCTTCTCCATCGCTGTCAACACCTTCCAGCTTGCCAGTCGACCACCTTCCCGGAGGTCTAGACCCCTAGCCAACACCACCTCAATCCTAGATCCTACCCTAGTTCTAGTGTGTGCTGTTGTTTTGTTGTAATTTAAAATTTTGAAGCCAGTAATAATATTTGTTTTCCCTTCGATATTTGTTAAATTTTAGTATCATTTGATATCCAAGCTAACCCAATGCTAGTTTCATCCTGGGGTGTCCTAAACCCACAAAGCCATAATCAAATCTTCCTAACCCTAATCCTCCTTTCTTATTTTTAAATCAGCAAGCCCACTTTTTTTTTTCTGCACCCTAAATAAGTCTCGTAGAACCTCATTCACCTTTCAAACCTAAACCTTAGCCACGCCACCGTGAAGGCAAGTGTCAGAAGCTGATAGGGAACTTACAATGAAAGAGATGCAACGAGAAATCTATCAATTTTAGCAAAGACTTGTTGAAATTGAGGAAATGATCCATGGAGAGATCACCATCGATCGTGATAGTGAAATTTAAAGGAAAAGAGGAGAATCCAAATTCATTTTAGGGGATGATTCAAGTGAAGATGAGTATAGGCCATGGTGCTTTGGGATTCAATATCAAAGGAATTGAGGGATGGATTGTTTTGGAGGACATGGAGATATGAAGGTAAATGTAGACTTACTAGAATTCAATGTGAGAATGAATCTGAATGATTTCATGAAGTGATTATAAACTTTTGAGAGAATTTTTTAGTATAAGGAAGTGACAGTTGATAGGAGTGTAAAACTTGTTAGCATATGACTGAAGAACAGTGTTTGGTGGGAGAATTTGAAAAGAGGAATGTAGAGAGAAGGTAAGAACAAGATCACTTCTTGGGCGAAGATGAAGAAGGAGATATAAAGAAAGTATCTACCCCACACTACCGTTAGGAAATATTCTCGAGGCTACATCACTTACATCAGGGAGCGTTGTCAGTAGAGGAGAATACAACAAAGTTTGAGTAACTCATGCTAAAATATGAGTTAAGGGAGTCAAAGAAGAACACCACAACTATGTATTTGGGAGGTCTGCAGTCAGCTATCAGCCATGTTGTTCAAGTGTAACCTTACTGGTCATTGAGTGATGTTCAAACATTGACCCTAAAGACGGAGAAACAATAGAACTAGATCCGGACCCCGCCATCAGTCAGACAATCACCCATAATAGGAGTTAGTAGTATTACACCTGAGGAAGGTGTGAAAACTATCCAAAAAGATGATTGACCTGATCAGAATGGGAAGAAGCCTGAGAGGAGTACATCCAACAAAGCAGCTGCAAGGAAGGGTTTCCAATGTCATGGGTATGAACACTTCATCTCCAATTACTCTACAACCATAATTTTCTCTTTCACCGAGCAAGGAGTTGTAGAAGAAGTGGACAGTGATGCCGGAGACAAAAGATAGTGAGGAGGTGCAGTGCCCACTTCTAGCTAATGATGGCGAGATGCTTGTAATTTGACAAATCCTTTTGTTTGATGCTACAAGAAATCAACAATGACTTTGCCACAATATCTTTTATACCCATTACACTGTGAAGGAAAATGTGTGCAGCCTTATCAATCTCATTACTCAATGACATTCTCAGTCAAATTCTATTACTTGGTTGAAGAAAGGGAATAGGGTTAGCATTGACAGGAATGCTTAATAGAGTTTTCTATTGGGGACCAACTGCATGAGAAAGAGTGGTGTGATCCTGTACCCATAGATTTCTGTCACATATTGTTGGGGGGATCGTGGTAGTTTGATCATAATACTCAGTTTAAGGGGTCAAGAATGCTTACTCATTCATTGAAAATGGGAAGTGCATTTTTCTCCTACCTTCTACGAAGTCCAATGTAATAATTTTCTTGCCACGAGAGTGACACTAGTGGGATAAATTTTGGTGATGTTAGAGGGTAGTGAGATAAAAAAGCTAATATTAGGCACGGGGGAGCCACTACGAAAAGTGTTTTAGGAAATCCTGACCAATATCTCACCACTAGGGTTACCACCATTAAGGAAGGTTCAATCTATTTTCACTTTAGAGAGGAATGAGTCAACTGTGAGCTATTTTTGGAGGACTCTGCGGAGTACACTTGACACAATTTCAGTTAAGTTCAACAATATATCCACATATGGTTGAAGATATAGAAATGGTTACTCGTAATTCGGGAAGCCTTCTCTGGCATTTTACATGACTTTGCATCCGATATTGAGATTCAAATGCTTATAAAAACTTAGTCAAAGGTCCTTAATATCGGGAGATAACAAAATTTTTGTTACATTCATTGCGACCGACCTAACTCCATATGGTCAAACAGAAGTTTTGACCAGTGAGGACATCTGGGACTTCTAAACCGGTTTGGTCCAAGAGAAATTGAGGGTCGGTCAGCTCTCTAAGCTTAGGGATTGTCTTTCAATTGGAGTGAGACCCACTTTTAGTTGTCTAGGACTATATATTTGCTTTTATTGGTGTTTAAGGTTAGTTTTTGTATTGTGATTTGTTTCGGATTAGCCATCAACATCTCTTTGTCATCTATAGGCTATTTTCTAGGGTTTCAAGTGGTTCTCTGATTGTATCTTTATCTATATGTGGTGTTTATCCTTCCTAAACCTTTCACCCAACCTTTCCCACACGTTCCCACATCCCTTTCCATGTTTTCCTTGTTTTCACCACCCTTAATAGCACCTCCCACCATAGTTCTTGTTGCTTGTCGCTTTCCCCTCCCTGTTGCCGCCTCTCCCATTTGATACCAGAACTAGTTAGGAAAATACAAAGCAAACTTATATTAATATTAAAATAGGGTTGCATCATGACTCGAACGGAAATAACGGCACAAACCATGGAATGACACAAGCAAGCACTTCTAAACTTATTCCACTGGTGGTCGACTAGAGGGATAGAGATGATTGAGAGGAACGACGACGGTCATGGGAGGTGAGTGGCAGCGAAAGGATGGTGCATGACTGTAGGAACAACATGTACATGGTCGACAACTGAAGTGAGGTTGTGAGGAGGAGCTTGAAAGAAGTTATGAAGGCGGGTCAACACTAATAACCTATGGGAAGGGGAAACAGTTGGGTGTCGGGGTGACAGAGGGAGAGTTTGGTGGCTGAAGAGTGGGGAGGAGAATGTTTGGGGAAGGTAGAAGACATATTATAATCACCATCTTGGAGAGGTACAACCAAAACACCACCACCTCTTTGGATACAACACATAAAGGGGAAAGAAACCCACACAGGAGATCTGAAATGAAACACACCAAGAACTATCTCCCTACATATCTAGGATAACAATTTACAGGCTCCCCCTATATAGAGGATGCTTCTATATAAAGGAAGAGAGTGGGAAGCATAGATAAATCTAGAGAGCACTCCCTAGAGTAGCCGATTTGCGATGCCTTAAGTCAGATCACAATAGTTTGTGATCTTCACTGCTATCCTTCCCTCATTCGCGCGACATTTGCCGCAATCGCATTCCCTCACGAGGATTTGTGAACTCCCGCTCCCCATTCTGTGTCACTCTCGCTTCTACAATGCCAAGCGGGTTGGCCCCATGGTTCGAAGCTCCCAAATCGCAATGTTCAACACCTCGAACCGGGTGCTGATTTAGCGCACGTAATCGGCCGCTGTTAGCGCCTGTATCTGTCTCCTGGGGTTGGGGTAGCTTCGACTTTATATTCAAAGTTTTCTTTTCGTAGCCAGCGACCCTTGCATCTCACTAACGACTGCACCGTCTCTCGGGGTATCTGAATGTCTTTCTTAACTTGTTAGTAAATGTCCATGTCGATCTGTCCTTCTATAGTTGTGTACCACACCTATGTTGGTGAATATTTTCAAAGTAATCTATGATCTGTTCAATAGTGTGTGTAGTAATCAGAATCTTCATGCACGACGGTGCTGCTAGTATGACATCGACCTGACATATCTTTGGTCATATTTGTATTGTTTCGGGGGCGGGTGGCTCGGTACTCTCGTCTGGTGACATCACTAAAAATTGTTCTACTGACACTTTTTTGCTAAAAGGGATCCTGTGATCTCGAGTTCTGTTGAAGGAAGGAGGGTGATGCGCTTTCCTTTCCTGGTGAAATAATACATGTTTCTATATCCGTCGTGCTGAGTCCTTCGATCAAATTGCCACGATCTTCCCAACAGAAGGTGACAGACATCCATGGGAACCATGTCATACTATACCTGGTCTTGTAGCCGGGCCTCCGATCGAAACTACCAAGCATTTTCAATCAATATTGACCCGATTCTCTTTCTTTAGCCATAATAGTGAATATGGCTGGGAATGCTTCTGAGTCTCAAACCCAATTTTGCTACTATTCGTGTTGATTATGCGTTCTTACTCCTTTTGTTGTCGATGATTAGTAGATGATTAAACTGCATACTTTTCTGTTCACTGTGCAGCGGGTGTAGAATATGTTGTGGTGAAGCCACTGTGGATCCACCGTGTCCTTGGTTTGCTGAATCCGTCGAATTACGAGTGCTTCTTCGTCTGGTGGGAGTTGATGCACCTCACTATGTTCCTTAACTTTCTCCTTATTTCTTTTACGACACCTTGATCTGTGAGTGTGATTGCCCTGTTCGTGGGGCAGCTGAAGGGTAGCCGACCGGTACCATGTTGGAGGAGCTACCCTTCTCATGTTTTTTCCTGCTTTGTTCTGTGGTGTCATTCCCTTGTTCACGCTTGTCTATGTCTCCCGAGTTATCCTAATCGGTCATGATAACTGTAGGTGAGAGCCTACCTGAAGGTTGCTACTTAAAAGATGATTATTGTCGGCTCTGCTTCTGTTGCCTTTCCATCTTCTAGGCTAATGTTTGGATATCCCTTAGCGTCCAGTATGAATGCAACTGTACCACATTGTTGATGATGGGTTTTAGACCCCCGAGATATCTTGCTATCATATGTTTTTCTGGCTCCGTCAGTTCGCGTTTCAGCTGTAAGTGGTTGAATTGGGCCGTGATCTCTTCAACTGAAAGATCTCTCAACTGCAAATTGTTGAGTTTCATAAACATATTCTGGTAATAGTGGGGTGGGAGATACTTTTTCTGCATTACCTTTTTCATCTTTTCTCACCTAGTGATCTTTTTATTGCCTTCCCTCTTCTCCGCTTCTGCACATTTTCCCACTATAGGGATGCACACTTCTTCAGCCTAATAGGGGCTAGCTTGACCCTTTTATCATCTGGTACATCTTTACCTTCAAAAATAAGTTTGTCGGACTGTAGACAGTCGATAAATGCATCGGGATCCATACCTCCTTAAAGTTATGAAAGATCCATCTTGAGGCCAAAGTTCAGCTGACCTCCATACGGAGTCTCTTCTCTCTGTTTCCTTAGACATTGGATACCAAAATGATGTGGCCAATATTCCTCGTCACTGAGTTCTTCGCTGTGGAACAAATTCATCTCGTCCCTGTTATCTCTTCGACTCTCTCGATCACAGACGAAGGTAACCTCTTCTTGGTTTCTATCGTCCAGTTTTACCAGTCTCCGTTGTAGACGATGAATTTTTCACATACTCTTTTCCCGGATCGAGTCCGGTGCACCTCTTTGCGACAACATGGAGAGGGTTGGAAATTGAAAAGAAAAAAATTGGTGGAGGTGAATTGGGTAGGGCCGAATGTTGGGAATCCCTAGGATATTACTAGGGTTGGACTAGATCTGATACCAAATGATATCGAAACTGGTTGGGAAAACACAAAACAAACTTTTATTAATATTAAAATAGGGTTATACCATGATTACAAAAAATTACAACACAAAACATGGAACAACATGAGCAAATGCTTCTAAACATATTTCAATGGGTGTTGAAGGTCGACTAGAGGGATAGAGATGTTAAGAGAAATGACGACAGTCACGAGACGCGGATGGTAGTGAGAGGATGGTGCGAAACTGTAGGGACAACAAGTGGGAAAGGGTTGTAAGTGGTCGGCAGCCATAGTGGGGTTGTTAGGAGGAGCTTCAAAGGAGTTAGAAAGGGTGGTCAACAGTAATAACATGTGGAAAGGGGAAATGGCTAGGTGTCGGGGTGACAGAGGGAGAGTTTAGCGACTGAAGAGTGTGGAGGAGAAGGTTTGGGGAAGGTAAAAGAGAGAATATAATCACCACCTTGGATATGATATAGCCGAAACACCACCGCCTCAGATGCAACCCAGAAAGGGGAAAGAGACTCCACACAAAATCTAATACGAAACTCACCAATAATTGACTCCCTACATACCTAGGACAATAATTATAGGCTCCCTCTGGACGGAGGATGCTTCTACATGAAGGAAGAGAGTGGGAAGCCTAAAGAAATCCATAGAGCACTCTTTAGAGCAGCTGATTTGTGATGCCCCAAGTTAGATTGTGATAGTTCGTGATCCCCGCTATGATCCTTCCCACCTTTGCGTGAGATCTCCCGCAATCGCGTTCTCTCGCGAGGATTCGAACTTTCTCTCCCCCTACTATGTTTCTCTCGCTTCTGCAATGCCAAGTGGGCTGTTCCCGAGGTTCAAAACGACCAAAACGGGCATTGTTCAACGCCCATAATCGGGCGTTGTTAGCGTCCGTATCACCATCACTGCTGTCGTCTTTCAACTTGCTAGTCAACCCCCTTATCACCTTCTCAAGGTCCAAACCCAACACCACCTTCATACTAGATCCTACCTTAGTTCGAGTGTGTTATTGTTTTGTTGCAATTTCATATTTCTTTGTTGTTTTGTTGTAATTTCAAAGTTTTAAATCAGTAATAATATTTGTTTTCTTTTGGATGTTTGTTAAATTCTGATATCAAATTGTCACTATTATTCATCTTCTTCATCCCGCCTTTGATCCCAACCATAGAGCCATTGCAATCTTGTTCCAATGCAATATATTTCTATCATTGCATCACCTTGCAATCTTGTTCCAATGCAATATATTTCTATAGTTTCATCACTGACCCTCAAAAATCATCACTAATGCAAGCATCTTCTGTCTTCATCTTTTAAAATTATTGAAATCACCTTATTCTTCACATTATTGTTTGTAGAGATTTTCCTAAGAAATCTTCTCCTTTGCGCCTCAGTTACCACTAAAGCCATCTTACCTTACTCATCCTTTTGGTTAGTATGTTGCGTAATAGGCTTCTTATAAAAGTTTATGTAAGGTTTTAAAAATTTCATTTTTAGAAATACCATGTAGTATAGATTATAATCTTGGGATTAATTATTTATTTTAGTTATAATGGTTGAATTAGATTAATCATGAGTTGCGCCAATTTAAAATTGTCACTAATGCTAGCATCTTCTCTATATTCATCCTTCAAAATTATTAAAATCACCTTATTCTTCACATTGTTGTTTGTAGAGATTTTCCTAAGAAATTTTCTCCTTTGCATCTCTTTACCACTAAAGCCATTTTCACCTACTCACCCTTTTGTTTGGTATTTTGCGTAGTATGTTTCTATAAATGTTTATTTAAGGTTTTAACAACTTCATTACTAGAAACAATATGTAGTATAGATTATAATCATGGGATAAATTACTTATTATAGTTATAATGGTTGAATTAGATTAATCATGAGTTGCCTCAATTGAAAATTGTCCTTTTTGTGAGGCTGTTTTACTTTATGTTTGTTATGAATTTTATTCATAAAAATATTGATAGATTGTCAGTTAAACATTTGACCTTCATAAAAATATTTAAGATTGCATCTGACATGACGCATTATATTGTTAGCTTTGTCTTGTAAATTGATGCTAGCATAAATATCCTTAAAATGAATTCCGAAATGGCAAAATTTTGGTTACATGTAGTGCTGTCAAAAAAAGAGGAATTGATGTTAGTAATTGATTTATATTATTTATTTTTAAATAAGAGGAATTGAATTTTTATAAAACAAACGGTTCAAATTTTCTTTTTAATAGTAGTATAAATGTGAGGTTTTTTTTTTCTTACAAAAAGGATGGCAGTATTACTTGTTATAATTGCATTTTTTGTTTGCATATCTTTTCGAAAAATTTCCTCGCTTAAAAATTGTCATTATGCATTGTTGCGCACGTTATATTAATGTCAAATGAGCCTAAAGTGGTGATGTTAGGATTTGTTTCTGAACTAATTTTGAGCTGCTTCTACCCTCCACAAAATCGGCTTGAAGAAATATAATCTAATCTTGTGCCAAGGCAGGCTTAATATGTAGCTCGATTTAATCTCTATTCAGGCTCGATACATTCATTCCAAGCTCTTTCAAACATCTTCAGTATTCTTAAATTCTTGAAGAAAAATTGCTCATTATTTACTCATATGATTCCTCTTAGTATTTAATATTTCATTGAAATGACCTGTTTACCAAACTATCCAAATATTTTCCATGACACTCCGAATCCTATAATGCTGTGTGGATCTAAAGCTTATGTTTATAACTATTTCTTAATTCATTTTATTTGCTCTTCTAAGAATTTTCTCTTTTAGGTCGTCAAAAATACCCTTTTTCGTATTTCACTGAGGTTTTTCAGTTTTAGTAACTTAACATCTTGTTTATACCTTTTCAAATGTGATCTGAAGCTTCTAGTTCTTTTTTCTTTAATTGAACGATTTATTATTAAAGCTATACAAGGAGATGATAACCACTGCTGATATTATAACTTCTTACTATCATGATTTTTCTTTTGAGAGTTTCAAACTTTAATTCTTTCTTTGTAGTTTTTGTTTTTGCTGGTTTAATCACCATAACTGCCGATTCTATAATCATAGCTTCTTACTCTTGCTATCACTACAAGGAATTTTGTGATTTCTATTGCAGATGGTTACTGCTTGTTACTTTGGCGTCCTTACGACATGGAATTACACTTTATAAAGTCCCCTTGAATTACACTAGTACAGTTAGTTGTCTTCCCTACTTTCTGTTGTTTTAGAAGGCATGGGATCACTCTGTTGCAGGCAAAGTTCTTTTAACGATGTCGATGCTGAAGAAAATGCTCGGGTATGTTTCTTGATTATGAGGATTCTATAGGCAGGGTATACACTGTTAATGTGTTGAAATTGCTTTAGAATTGATACAAACCTAGTCATGATTTCTCATCTGATCCATCTCTTACCATCTTCAGGCTGCAGAAATAGAGAGACGGATCGCCCAGGAAACAAAAGCTGAGCAACACATACACAAACTTTTGCTTCTTGGTATACTTAAGATAAATTTGCCGTTTGCACATTAAGTGGACCTACATTTACAACTCTTCTTTAAAATTTATTTTAGAGAATAGATTACCTATTTAAAAAACAAACAAACAAACAAAGTTGATGCCATGATGTATATCTTAGATTATAGAACTTTCCTGATTGCTTGTAAATTTCACTTAGGGTGTTATGATCTCGCCCAGTAAGCTTGCAGTGTCAAGGCATGAATAGACAGTCGGATAAATGGTTGACTTATTATATCATGACAATCTAAAATCATTTTTTTTACCATTTGCATAAAACTTCCAATATCACCAAAGAGCCACAAAACCATAAGTTTACATTCAGCATGTGAATATTCACATGTATATGTTGAAACAAGACAATTAGTAAATGGAAATTGAAATAAAACTATCTAAACCTTTCCATACAAATAATAAAACTATACAATTAACTCACTTGATATTCAGCCAAAAAGCCGAGAATTATAATTCATTAGCTAATTCATGCTTATAGTAAATAAGACAGATTTTCTTTGACGGAGGCATCAAAAGGGACGTGGGATCATGTCTTTGCATGTGTGTGCGGGAGTCTTCCGTACTCTAGTTGTTTGGATCGAACCAATTCAGACCAGACCTGGGAGAGCCGACCAAATCTTCCACGATGATTTGGCACTTCCTTTCCATAGAGGGACCCAATCCTAGTTATCTAGGGTTTATATATTAGCTTTTCTTGTTTTAGGTTTTTCATTTTTGGTGTGCTTTCTGTTGGGATAGCCGTTAGTAGCTCAGGGTTTCCCTTTGAGGTTTGTCTAACGATTGAGTGGTGCTCCGGCTGTATCTCGCTCCCGAGATGGTGACTATATATAAGGTTCGAGTGGTCTCCTGCTGTATCTTGCTTCGAGGTGTTGATTTATCCTTCCCCCATCATTCTCTGCTGCAGCCGCCTTAGAATAACACTTGCTGTTTTTTCCTGCAGTTCCCCCCAATTCCAGCCTCCTCCCTCCCTTCCCAGCCTAGCTGCCACCCAGCATAGCCACCTCAACCCTTCCACAACCTTCCTACATCACTTCCAATCGCTGTTCTTTGCTGCTGCCATCCGGAAAACAACTAACATGCTGTTTTCTTGCTATCCAACTATCCATCATCGCAGCTGCAGTCACACCACTTCTTTGCTATTCTATCGCTGTCCAGACATCTTACATCCCAGGCGCAGCCCCGTGACTCCTACCATTTGCTGTTTGGCTGCTCTTCCAGTCGCCCACATGCCCTATCATACCTCATCCACCTCTCAGAAATCTTACCTACTGTAACTGCGGCCCTCCAACACCTAAAATTACCCATTCCAGCCCACCTAGCGGATCTTCACCACCCCTGAATTAACATCTAGTTGAGTTTGTGTGTCTTGTCTGCTATTTCCCTTTTCAACATGTTTGTTATAATTTCCTATTTGCTTTCAACAATGATGTCTTGCTTTTTCATTGTTGTTTGGTTAATTCTTGTATTATTTAGTATTAGAGCTTATCTAACCTTAGTCTTATTCTATGGTTGTCAAGAATCCCCCTCGATACAAAATCCTTACCTTTGCTGATTTTTCAAAACAACCACTAAAAAATTTTCTTCCCTACCCTATATCATTTCTCTTTTACCTCTCCCACCCCCTCAAACCCAAACCCCAACTACGCAACCAAAGATACAATTGCCAGAGGCCTCATTTGGAGGAAATGCTACAATGTAGTTTATCAAAAATCCGTAAAGAGATGAGCCTTCAATAGAGGATGTGTGGTGAGAAATCCTTCAACTACAACTTCTCCTTCGAGAGGAGGCAATTCAGAAGGGTCACCCACAACAATAATGGTGAATTACCTGATCGAAAGAATGCAGTAAAGCCCTTCCCTTAGGTAGATCCAGAGATGTAAAACTTTTATCCAGAAGAGTTGGCCTGAATATCAGAGTATCTTGAAGTAAAAGTGGATTTATTATATTTTAACGACCACTTAAATCCGGATAAAGTCATTGAGTAGCTCTAAGTCCGTGGAATGTATCTTTGAGTACCAGGACGCCACATTAGATATAATGATGAACTTAGCTACAAACAAGTTAAAGAAGAGCACATCTTAGTGGTGGAAGAATTTGAAGATTTTCCAACAAAGAGAAGAGAAGATTAAAATTATTGTTTGGTTTAAGATGAAATGAGAAATGCAATAACAATACCTACTAGTTCTGTATTGACAAGATGTTCAATTCCTAACTTCAAAAGGGGAGAGACGTTATCGTCGTATGACCGCCACATCTTACAAACAGAGTTTAACTATGATAGCAAGCAACAAGAGTATACCGACTGAACATCCAAGCAGACCTTGTCTGAGGAGATACTAGTTTAAAGTGGAGAACAGGTGGAACCAATCCACATTTTCATATTCATCCTAGCTAAGAATTATTTCCCGTGCCACAAATTTGGGCGTATTGAATCAGAGTACCCAATTAGATCAAGGAACAATTGAAGAAATGAGCAGTGTTACAATATACCCTAAATAAGGCGATGACACAAAGGAGAAGTATATCCAAAAAACACATTTCAAGATGAGCCAATGGGATAAACTCCAACAAAATTAACATTAGTGGTTCAAGATGATCCCAAAGTTCGAGGAACTAACATAAAAAACTTGATAATTCCATTTAAGGGAATTTCATTTTTTTAATATATAGTTTACTTCCCGAGTTGCTCTTATCGAGGGAGGTCCAAAATGTGAGAGATGACTCTTTTGCGCCATCCCTGGAAGATTATATGGAGTCATTTTGGGTATTAAAAAAAAATTAAGTAGTGTAGCCATCGATAAATGGTTAGAGTGTAGCCATCGATAAATGGTTAGACATGATGGATGAACCTAAGTGTTGGAAATTGCCTTAGAATTTTTTTGGTAAAGAATATCCCGTTGTGAGATCCATGTTCTTTCAGAAAAGAAGAAACCTCTCCTGAGTGCTTATACTTCAGTGTGGTCCAACCCACCATAGATCTCATTCTAGAGTTGATTTCTCTTGACAGACTTGTTTATCAGATGCATTAAGCCAAGCGCGAGAAGTGGAAGAAGGTTACAAGATCAAGATCATGAGAGTTGCTTTGCGGGAATCTACTACTATATGCAGCTTCAGCTCAGGTTGTGTAAAATAAGGATGAATACTTATTCTATCAGGATGTGCTTTGGAATGACTTGTAGGAGTGAGTGATTATAAAGTTATCGTAGCTCCACCACCTTTAACTTGGTCGATTAGACACTACTCTACGAGGAGTTAGAAGCTTCGAGAGGTCGAAACTCCCCAGCCCCGGGAGACTGACGAGGGCGTCAAAAAGGATGTGCGATCACATCTTTGCATGCAGGATTAGAATCTTCTATGCTCCAAAAGTCTGAACCGAATCGATGCAAGCCTGGGAGAGTCAACCGAATCTTCCACAATGGTTTGGCCCCTCCTTTCCACAGAGAGACTCAGTCGTAGTCATCTTGGATTTATATATTTAGTTTTCATGTTTTAGGTTTTTCAGTTTTTGTGTGCTTTATATCAGGGCAGTCGTTGACGTCTCAAATTTTCAAGTTGAGGGTTATATCTAGGAGGGTGGTGCTCCAACTGTATCTCCTTTTCAAGATGGTGATTTATTCTTCCTCCATTGTTCTTCTCCACTTCTTGTCCTTCCCTGCTGTAGCCGCCCCTAGAACAACTATTGCTATTTTCCTTGTAGTTCTCCCATTTCCAGCCGCTTCCCTCCCTTCCCAGCCTTGCTGCCACCCAACACAATCATTTCCACCCTTCCACAACCTTACAATCACTTCCAATCACTGTTCCTTGCTGCCGTCATTCAGAGAACTACAAACCTGCCGTCCAGTCGTCCAACATTGCTGTCGTAGCTTTACAACTTCTTCCCTTGCTATTCTACCACAGTCAACCATCCGATATCGCTGTTGCAACCCTGCGGCTCCTTTATTTTGTTGTTTTATTGTTCTTTTAGCTGCCCACATGCCCTACCACATCTCATCGACTTCTCAGAAACCTTGCATGTTGTAACTGCCACCCCCAACACCTCAAACTGCTAATTCCAACTCACCTAGCCGGCTTCCACCACCTCTAAATTGACCTCTAGTTGAGTTTGTGAGTCTATTATTATTTCCCATTTTAATGTGTTGGTTGTAATTTCTTAGATACTTTCAAAGACAATTAAAATAATTTTTGAGTAAAATTCAAGATCTCAAAATTTAGGATGTTCATGAAGAAGCAAATGTTATGTGGGATAAAGTAACAAATACTATTAAATATGTACCAAAAGATGTACTTAGAGAATCGAAAGAAAAAATTTCTATGAATAAAAATTGTTGGTGGCAGAATAATATTGTGCAAGAAAAAATAAAATGTAAGATATGTTATAAAAATTAGTTTAAATTTAAAACCTTAGGGAATTGGGAAAAATATCAAACGACTTGCAAAGATTCTAAAAGAACAATTTGTGACACTAAAAGTTCTGCTTTTAGTGTTTTTATAATAATTAGATATTAAGGAGGGTGAATATTTGTACAAACTTGCCAAACAAAGAGAGAATAAGATTAAAGATTTAACTCAAGTAAAGTGTATTAAAGATTAAAATCAAAAAGTGTTTTTTTAGAAAAAGATATTCAACATAGGCGAGTGAGTTATTTTGATAAACTTTTTAATGAAGTTTCTGAAAATACGATCGACTTTAGTGATCTTAATATCGTTAATAATAATAAAACGTTTCATTTTTACTATGGCATTAGTAAAAAAGAAGTTGATGAGGCTTTAAAGAAAACTAAGGGTGGAAAGTCTATAGGACCTGATGATATCTCAGTTGAAGTGTGTAAATATTTAGGAGATTTGAGAGTTTCTTGACTTACTGCACTCTTTAATATTATTTTAAAAACTAAAAAGATGCATGAGGAGTGGAAGAAAATTATTTTGGTCCCCATTTGTATGAATAAAGGGATGCACAAGAGTTTGCAAATTATAGAGAATTATAGAGAGAGTTTGCAAATTATAGAGGAATTAAATTGATGTTTCATACTTTAAAATTATGGGAGAGGGTAATTGAACATAGTTTAAAACGTATTACATAGATTTCTCAAAATCATTTTGAATTTATGGCGAGCAGGTCTACTATGAAAGCTATACATTTATTGAGAGGTTTGATGGAGAAGTTCAGAGATAATAAGAAAGATCTACATTTGATTTTTGTTGATTTAAAAAAAGCTTACGATAACATTCCAAGAGATATTTTTTGGGGAGTTCTTGAGAAGATAGGTGTTGATATGACTTATATTCATGTCATTAAAGATATGTATTTTAAAGTTGTTACTTATGTTGGAACTGTAGGAGGATTGACCCAATATTTTACTATTTCTATTGGATTACATCAGAGATCGACTTTAAGCCCATATATTTTTTCTTTCGTTATGGATAGTTTTATTGGACATTTATAGGAGGATGTACCTTGGTGTATGTTTTTTGCTGATGATATCTTTCTAGTGGATAAGACGTGAGAAAGTGTCCAGGGAAAACTTGAATTATGGAGGTTTACATTGGAGTCTAAAGACCTTCATTTGAGTAGAACTAAAGCTAAATGCATGGAATGTAATTTTAGTAGTAATAGCTCTAGTGACAGAAATGTAACTTCACTGATCAAATTATTAAAATGTGTGAACGATTTAGATCCCGGGTCTGTTATTCAAAGCGACGGTGATATGGATGGGGGTGTTAAACACAGAATTCAAGATTGAAGTGGAGGAAGTCTTCAGACCTTTTGTGTGATAGAAAAGTACCGCTTAGACTGAGAGGAAGTTCTTATAAGGAAGTGTTGTGAGATGAGAATGCTCCACAACGAGAATGCTAAGGTGGATGAGTTGCTTGAAGCTTAGAGCCAAAATACGATATGAATATATACGTGATAGGGTAGGTGTAGCTCCAGTGACGGAAAATATTAGAGAAAGTCGTCTTAAATGGTTTGTTCATATTAGACGTCGACCATCTGATGATCTGGTTAGGGGAGTAGTTGTTTTAGATTTGACTTATGTTAAGAAAGAAAGAGAAACGTCGACCATCTAATGATCCGATTAGGAGAGTAGATGTTTTAGATTCGACTTATGTTAAGAAAGACAGAGGTAGACCTAGGAAGACTTGGTCTTATTGTATAAAAAATGATCTTAGTTTATTAGAACTAAATGAAAATATGACACTAAATAGGACTCAATGGAGAAAAAAAAGACTCATGTAGCCGACCCCACGTAGTGGGATTATGGTTTTGTTGTTGTTGTTTTATGTATGTACATGTGCAAGTATGTGACACTATAATTCCAAAATATTACGAGCATTTTGATTAATTATTTCCAAAAAAGTTGCCAAGATGAGAATGATTAGGTGGATGAGTGGCTTTACACTTAGAGACAAAATGCGAAATGAATATTTCCGTGATAGGGTTGGTGTAGCTCCAGTGACGGACAAAATTAGAGAGAGTCGTCTTAGATGATTTAGTCACATTAAACGTTGACCATCTAATGATCCGATTAGGAGAGTAGATGTTTTAGATTCGACTTATGTTAAGAAAGACAGAGGTAGACCTAGGAAGACTTCGTCTTATTGTATAAAAAATGATCTTAATTTATTAGATTTAAATGAAAATATGACACTGAATAGGACTCAATAGAGAAAAAAGGACTCATGTAGCCGACCCCACACAGTGGGATTATGGTTTTGTTGTTGTTGTTGTATGTATGTACATGTGCAAGTATGTGACACTATAATTCCAAAATATTATGAGCATTTTGATTAATAATTTTCAAAAATGTGAATTCGGAGCATGCGTGCTTGACGTCATAAGGCTTAGAATTGACATGGCGCTTCTTTGATAAGTCACTTCCCCGTTCAACCAAATAATTGAAATGGACCAACCAAAGAAAACTTCCTCCCATGACCTACGTACGATTATATGTAAACAAAGAGCCCATTTTGTTTTCAATAGACATGAAAGAATTCCAAGTTACATGAAATTAGTTTTTGACGTCTTTTGGGCTTGGAACTTGTAAATTTTTTTCTTTCTTATGCTATCTATTATACTATCATTCTTTTTTGTTTTTTATATGAACTGATAATTTTCTTTGTTGACCCTTTAAAATATTGGTTATTAATGAATGTGGTAATCTTTTTGTTCTTTAAAGGAGCTGGAGAATCTGGAAAATCAACCATTTTTAAGCAGGTATGATTTTTTTTGGTGAATTATTTTTTTGCTGCGATGTAGTTATCCTGAAAGCCTCTTAAAGTTGCTTGATTACTGAGCAGATAAAACTTCTTTTCCAAACTGGCTTTGATGAGACAGAACTCAGAAGCTATATACCAGTTATACATGCCAATGTCTATCAGGCAATTAAAGTACGCAATACTGAAGGGTGTGTTTGTATTTTTCTCTTATTCAAATAAACAGGATTTTAGTGTCTCATGATGGAATAATTTAGAATCGATAATTCACTTAATCCCCTTGTCAAATCTGTCCAAAAAACAGGTACTGTATGATGGGTCGAAGGAGTTGGCCCAAAATGAAACGAACCCCTCAATTCATGCTGTATCTCTTGATAAAAAGGTTTGATTTGCACCCCCTTTTCTACAATATACTTTTTGATTTTGCATTAATTTCTCACTTGCATGTGGGTATGGTTTTATGGTCCAGGTGATGTCTGCTCAAATTACGTTCATGCTAATGCTGCCATGAACCTTTCAATTCACTTCAAGCCTTCAACATATAAATAAATAAATATTGAAAAGACAAAATTCATTGATATAAAAGAGGATACAAATGTTTTAGTGAGTGGGGACAAAGACTCCACTCACAAGGATTACAACTACACGTATTCCTAAAAAATATAACAAAAAGAAAATAACTCCTGATCATGGTGGGTGTGTTTGGTGGATGTACCGCTTCCTCTTCTCCTGGATCTAGGGTGGGAGTCCAACAACGTACTAAGAGGTGGGCTTTCGCCCGAAACTATGATACAATCATCCTGAAAATTATCGAGATATAATATTCCTTTTTTCTTCTTTCTAGATTTGTAAATCTACCAATCATTTACTAGAGGTAGTCCCGTATGAACAATAGGTAAATCTTCGATGGAGGTAAACTGCTGATCTGACTCAGCCTGCAACACACCTTGATCTTGACACTCCTCCAGAACTTGAGTACCCTCTTTTCTCGCAATAGGCGGTTCCAAACCACTCGGTCTAGCATCTGCTATAACAAAAGTTATAGCATTTGTGATATGATGAAGAACTGCATCAACAGTAGTAGGCGAAAACTGCTGGACCGGTTGGTGGGGAGTAGCCTTACGAGTCAAATCTTCATTCAACATTTCTGGAAGATTAATAGTGTTTGCTATATTTTCCTCCACATGGATGATGTTGTTAGGAGCTATTGATCTTAAATGTGGGTGAAGTATGAAGCATTTGACAGGTTTGTGCTCAAATATTGTACAGTGATTGCAGTAGTAGGGGCTTTGTTATGCAACAATTAACTGCCAATACCCATTGTGGGCAGTACCAAGCTATATTTCGTCCACATCAGGGAGGGTGATATTTCTTTCAACAAGAATTCTTGCAATCGAAGGCCTGGTAAGATTGAAGGTGGGTGTATCCAATTTCATAAGTCCCTCTAGTGCAGCTCCAATAGAATAAAGGACTTGGTGTTGAAGTAGTGCAACTTTAGGCCATGTAGTTTAAACCAGATTGAAACTATAGATGGTTTTTAACTAGGGTCAAAATCAGGAAACCACTTAAGCAGTTTCATATATTTTCTATCTATTGTCATAAACTTTTTAGAAAATATTTTGACATAGGCTTTGTTTGGCGCAGCTGCAGCTTTTCAACTTTTCAGCTGCAGCTACGCCGCCCCAGGAAGCTGCTGCGATGAAGTAGCTGCGGGGAAGTTGGTTATCTGTTTGGTGCAACTCTGTGAAACCAGCTGTCGGACAGCTGTTTATAGAAAAAAGACCATACTGTCATTGTTTGGTAAGACTGTTTAAAAGAAGAGTATAACAATCATATTTTTGGAACTTCAGTAGGCCCCCAAAGGTTATTATCTTTACTTATACTCATTGTCCTCATCTTACTTGGCCAATACTCCTCAAAACTGACATTAAATATGTCAACCTGTAAGCAAATCAAAATACCACCACAGTCAACTGAAAACTCAAAACCATTGATATCCTTCCAACACTCAAATTCACAATATAAAGATCAAAAACCCCAAAACCAGAAAAAAATGAGGGAAATTTACTGAGCACACAGTTCAAACGTGAAATATCAACAACAACAACGTGTAACAAATCTGTAATATGTAACAAACATGTACCATTCCATAACACTGTTCTAGCAAAAGACAATTGTAAAACAGACATAATGTAAAAGGTAAAGCCTTGGAGGAACAAATGCATTGACATCAATAACAAAATATTGCATTTAAATCAATCAAGTACCTTAAGAATCGCTCAAACTCAAAACCAAAAATGCAAAACTTTTTGAATAACTTAATTTTACAAGTATTTGGCGGAGATAACCATTGTACATTATTACAGTAAAATAAAACGGGAGAATCATTCTACAACCAAATAGGCTATATTAATTTTAAGCGTTGAATTAATATGCGTCGATTGCTAAAAAGCAAAAGAATGGGCAGAGTCATAGCTCATCAATAAGAATTGTGTTGGTTTTCAAATTTACTTGGAGCACATAAGCCTGAAGATGAGGATGTTTGAGCAGTTATGGAGCCTGAAAAATTGTATTTAACACAAGTTAAAAAACATTATTTGTGTATATAAGCAGAGAATGGAGCTCAGGTCTCAAAACAGACCATAACTATGCCAAAATAAAACAAACGGTATGCCTTAAGAGCTAAAAGGGATGCCTGAAGACATATATGGAAAAGTGATGAAGGAATTGTACAATCAGAAGCTCAGATTCATTTTAAGTTCATCAAGCAGCAAATCCAATAACAATTCCCTACAATTGTCTCATGGAATAAGAAGTTAACCTCAAACACAGGATATTAAGTACTAAACATTAAGTGTGAAATATGTGAGATATGTAAAATAAATATGTAAATACATATTTCATACCACATCAAAAATACCACTATTTTAACTTTTAAAAAGTGAATTATGTCTTCTCAAGTGGCATATATGTAGAAACTAAAGTTCAGATGTTAAATATGTAAATACATAGGAATTGAGTGGATTCTGCTAGTTACAAAAATACGGCACAAAGAACTAACAAACAGAAAACTTAGCACGACCTAAACAAGTTAATTATTCTTCATGCATTTGAATCCTTATTTGTAATCTTCATCGAATATCACAAGAAATAATATTGACAGTATATCACGCAAGATCCTTGAATTCCATCTAATCCAAACCAATCTTCGAAAGAAAGCTAACTAAAAGAAGATATCACAGGCATTGTTCCAATTGTAGAAGGACCAAACAATAATATACAACAACAACAACAAAGTCATAATCCCACTACGTGGGGTCGGCTACATGAATCCTTTTTCTCCATTGCGTCCTATTTAGGCTAATTGGCATGATATACCAAACAACAATATAAAAGCATCAATTTTGGCTAATTGGCATGATGAAGATCAAATCCTGCTTAAATGCTGCCCAAATCGTGTTACTACAAAGCTCCTAAGGCTTCTTCTATTGGAGTTCTGAAGATACAAAGAAGAAGAAGAAAATTTTCATTAAACATCAAATGGCAGAGGCAGTGATGCTCCAAGTACCTGAACATTGCCATGAGGATCTCTTTCCAAAAAAGCTGCTCCTGGATTGGTTGGGGAAGGAATTCAAACAGCATCATTTGAAGAGAAATTTGCCACCAAGAAATTTATGTCGTGCTTATCCATTTGGTGTTTAATCTAAAATCATCTTTTACTACTAATCTATCTGATAATAAATTACAGTTTGATTACCACTTGTACTAGTACTATAAGGGCACTAGGACATTGGTCTAGATCTAGGAAATGTAATCAATTGAGCATCTTTACTTGTACCTTGTTGTATACAGCAGAATAATAAAAATTGCAGATGCCCAACTAATTTTGTGGAACAAAAATTACTTATATTGTATAGCAATAGGACCACTTTCTCATCTTAAAGTCTCAATTTGTGTTCTGTAATTCAAGATTCACATCACATCCATTATTTCATGTTAGTATGTCCACACACAATAGTTCTTTTTTTAATCAAACTAAACAAAATGTATGATTTAGTCTTATAAACTAAAATTTCAATTCCAAACCCAAATGTTGAAGCCTGTAACCAATAACCACAGCTGCAAGCTTAATTTGTTAAGTATTTTACAATTCTAAGACCTTGCCAATGAAAGCTCTATACCATCAGCTTTTAAATCCTCCAATAATTTCAACTCATATCATTTTCAGTTTAGGACCTCTCTTTCTCTCCTAAGGTCATTAACTTACAATATTGTGGAGTTTACTACCTCTCTCTGTTGGTGTAAGGAAAGTTTCCACATAATTAAACAAATCAAATGAAAAAATTGTTGTCATGGAGATCAAATTTTCTTTATTTCATCAGGAAAACACATATGAATTTTGAATCAATTTTAATAAGATTAGACGTTAAAACAAGAAGGTGTAGCAAAATTATTCCTGTAAGAAGAAGGTGCAACTACAGTAAAAGATCAGACATTGCAAGGCAACTATCTAAATTTTGAATCAATTTTAATAAGATTAGACGTTAAAGCAAGTGTTTCACTAATTAGAATCGTAATCAACCTTTCTTTCCATCAAAAGCAGGGAGAGAATAAGCAATGCGAGAGTTTCGGGAAGGAAAACAAAATGATTTTGGGTACTAGCAACGGCACAGAGAGAGGAGAGAAGTGGAGAGGTGAGAAAAAAGAAAGGTAGAGGGAATTAAGCATGATGAAACCTCCTTCCTGGATTGCGATTACGTACCTGAAGTGAATTAAGCATGGTGAAACCTCTTGCTTCCTGAAGTGGAGAGATTAAAAACAAGAAAAGAAGGCGTAGAGGGTATTTTGGATTACGTATCTTCTGCATCCTGGATTCGTTGGTCGGGAAAGAAGCGCAGGGGCCGCGCGGTCGGGATCTCCACGCGATGGCGAGATGGCTCGACAACGCATGCTAGGGCAGAAACGAAGCAGGGGTAATTTGGATTATTAGCGAGTCGAAAGCTGGGGCCACGGGGTCGATCCCGCAGCCCGCTTTTCGCCCGCTTTTGTGTCGTTTGGCCGAGAAGTCGCGAGACAAACAAATACTGTTCGCGGTTTGGAGCCGCGCCGCTAGAAAAAAGCGGCCCCAACTTTAGATAATTGTATCATCACATGTCTCCCATAAAAGAAGACAACCTTTCAAAGTCCCAATAGTTTGAGATCTTCAAAAGCCTTTCGAACGATTTTCATTTTGGGATATATCGATTGGAACTTCCCAATGAGGGTGAATTTGAACTTGTTAACCAGGTTGAAAACTTCAACATCAGAGAAAATTAGAGCCAATTTGCCACTATTCCTATCCGTCTTCTTGATAAGGTTGCAGTCCTCCTGTCCTTCGAATGA